GGGTGATTGTCTTCACCCTCAAGATTTGGTTACACTATCTCTATGGGGTTCGATGTACCATCTACACAGACCAAAAGAGTCCAAGATACCTCATGGATCAGCCAAATCTAAATATGAGGCATCGTCGGTGGTTAGATGTGGTGAAGGATTATGATTGCGAGATCCTTTACCACCCGGGGAAGGCCAATATAGTGGCCGATGCGCTTAGCCATTAAGAAATGCCGATCAAAGACTTTTGCATGCAGATAACAGTAGTGACTCCACTGTTGGAGCAGATCCGAGAGGCCCAACAGGAGGCTATGAAGGAGGAACATCGGAGGAGAGAACGTATAGTGGGTCAGGTTTCCTCCTTCGACTACTATAGCTGATGGTTATTGACACTACACCATAGGGTGTGGGTTCCATACCACAGGGGTGTGTACCAGGTTCTAATGGAAGAGGCACATAAGTCCCGATTCTCCATTCATCCTGGGGCAATGAAGATGTATAGAGATCTTCGTCTTGACTATTGGTGGCCCTGCATGAAGCGGGATTAGTATGGTATGTGGAGCGGTACTTGACCTATCGGAAGGTCAAGGCCAAGCACCAGAGGCCACATGACAAGATGCAGCTGTTAGATATTCCCCTGTGGAAATAGGAAGATATTACCATGGATTTCATCACCAAACTCCCCACACCGTGCATGAAGTAGATTCCATATGGGACATCATGGATCGATTCACCAAGAGTACCCATTTCATACCGATCTAGGAGAGTATATCGACTGAGAAGTTTTCCAGCATCTACATTCGAGAGGTGGTGGCTCGGCATGGAGTGCTAGTCTCCGTGATTTCTGACAGAGATGTGCAGTTCACTTCAAGATTTTAGAAGAAATTCCATGACGAGTTGGGTACTCGTCTACACTTTAGCACCGCTTTTCACCCGCAGACGGATGGGCAGAGCGAGAGGACCATCTAGACACTAGAGGATATGCTGTAGGCATGCATGTTAGACTTCGGTGGTAGTTGGGATACCTATCTTCCATTAGTTGATTTCACCTACAACAACAGCTAGCACGTGAGTATCGATCGTCCTCCCTTTGAGAGGATTCAACAGGTCAGGAGCAGGCTTTAGACTGCTCAGAGTCGGCAGAAAAGTTATGCCGACAAGTGCCGCTCAGACCTGGAGTTCTAGGACGGGGATATGGTCCTCCTAAAGGTGTCGCCATGGAAGGGTGTCATCTGATTCAGGAAGCGGGGTAAGTTGGGCCTCACGTATATTGGATCTTTCTGGGTTATAGCCCGGGTGGGCAATGTGGCATATCGGTTGGATCTACCAGTTGAATTTAGTGAGATTCACAGTACGTTCCATGTCTCCTAGTTGTAGAAGTGCTTGGTGGATGACTTAGCAGTGGTACCTCTGGAGGATATTCAGGTGGATGACAGCCTAAATTACATTGAACAGCCTGTGGTAATCCTCGATCGGAAGTCGAAGGATTTGAGGATCAAGAAGGTCGAGCTGCTGAAGGTGCAATGACTACACCGAAAAGGCCCGAAATGGACATGGGAGCCGGAGTACGAGATGATGGAGCATTACTCAAAGCTTTTTTCAAGATCGAGTAGCAGTCTTTGAGGACGAAGTCTACAATAATTGGGGGAGATTTGTAGCACCCGATTCTTGGTACACACTTAATTCGTAGTATTTTTTATGTTTATGTTTTTCTCCGGGACTCGATGAGTTGGAGGCCCAAGTCGTTGAGTAGAGTCGGGACCCGCAGACATTTTAAGTGACCTACTCAACAAATCTGTAGACTGACTTGGCGAGTAGGTACTATTTGAGTAAAACCCTAATCTAAGGTATTACACCCTATTTAAAGACTCCCTTCATCCCTATTGTTATAAGAACTCTCCATATCAATCCCTAATTGTTTATATAAAGATCTAAGGCCATTGTGGTGGTTTTTGGTGATTTTGGAACATAAGAAGGAAGAGAAACGCTTGAGGAATCAAGAGAAGGCCAGAGGAGTTCGAGTTTGTGTACCCTTTGCAGTTCTTTCGATGTATAAAGCCGATACCTTGCTCTTTCAAGTTTTAGATCACTTTTTAGGGCTTTTAGGAGCCATTTTTTGGTGACCAATCATGAGTGCAAGCATGGTTGGGGGCTAAGACATCAGATCCAAGGTCTTTAAGGGGTTACAAGGCAGACAAGGACTAAGTTTGGAGCCTTAGAGAACCCTATGCATCTTAAGAGTCTCATTTAGGGCCATTTGAGCTCATAGTCCCATGCATGCACGTAAAGTTTGTAAATTTACGTGCTAGATCTATCTTAGAAGCCTAGATTTATCTTTTGGTCAAGTGTTGTACATCAGAAATCAAGAAATGAGACTCGGTCATTCTCGACTCTGCGAGTCGTTCTTGGGACTCGACGAGTCCATGGATTGACTTCCCTTTTCTGTTACGGTCCAAAGGAACCCAGTGATTCTTACAGTGGTCTTAGAGGGGTCCTGGAGAGTGAACCAATGCATTGGACCTAGCCATAGACCTAGAGATCATAGCACTCGACAAGTATGTGAACAGACTCGGCGAGTCGAAGGCAATCTCCCAACTTTTGAAGATGAACACAACGAGTTGTTCATACAACTCGGAGAGTCAAGGGTAACACTTGTTCATAGGATGGAGATGAACTCAACGAGTTGTCCATACAACTCGGCAAGTCGGATGAAGGTTCATTCGAGGTTGTTTTAGAAGAAAAACTTGTCGAGTCATTGCCAAACTCGACAAGCAGAGGCATGAAGAAGGACAAATGAAAGGATAGGGACTCGATGAGTTGTCGGCCCAACTCGGCGAGTCTAGTCAACTAGAAGTTGACTTTGACTTTGACTTGGTCAGGGGTAAAACAATCATTCTTTCCCTAAGAGTAGTTATTAGTGTCTGATTAAGTGTTTTATGGATTTATAGTTGGAGGATCACCGGAGCAGTAGTTAGATATCTCCTTATCAACTTTTCTGCAGTCAACCTTACGAGGTGAGTTACCTTCCGGTAGCGGTGGGTCTACGGAAACAATGTCGTTCATTACTAGAAAAACAACCTTTTATGATGCGCAATGCGTGTCGTAAAACGCTCAAACAACACGCAAATGTGCGTCAAGGAAGGCCCTGTCATAACGAGAGACGACACTCTTTTGCGCGCCTTGTACAGACGACGCGCATTTACGACACGGAATGCATATCATTAAAAGCCCTGTCAAGAATGGCCATGTCATAAATAAAGATGACACACATTTTTGCATATCATAAATTTAAATGTTTAAAAAAAATATTTATTAATTTATTAATTTTTAAATTAAATTTGCATTTAATGTTTCATAATAAAAATAAAATACCATATAAAAAAATACAATCCATGGCATAAAATTTAATGTCATACAATTCTATTTCTTACAATATATAAATTAAATTCACATTGTTATTAAGAGGTTTTCCCTAACAATATAACCTAATACTACGTTGCTATGAAGGGGCTCCTTGTTTCAGTAACTCGTCATTAAGCTATCTAAAGATGCTCTAAAACCGTTCATCATGTCTCTTAGCTTCAATATCAATCCCAACTCTTTATCAAGAACAACACGGAAATCCTACACAATAATCATGTCAGTTGTACAATATCAATATCAACTAATTAATAATACACATGGTATGTATGAGAGCGGAATCAACCAAATTGAAATCAATATCAACTAATGAATAATCATGTCAGTTGTACAATATCAACTAATCAATAATCAATATCAACTACACCACAATACAAGTAAGACAAAGATATTTGCCACTTTTTTGCATCAGAAAACAAAATGAACTTAACAAACCTGCCAAATCAAGAGAAGTCATGAATGACCTTGTATGAACTCTAAAAAAAAGAAAGCAAGTAAATTTAACAGATTAGATAAAGTACTAGACAAAAAAAATACAAGAGTGAATTATTATATATAAGAATAGAAAAAAGTAGTATGTAACAGCTGGCAGATATTAAAAGTTAAAAATATACGAACTAATCGAATATTCATATACCATTATTCATAAAAAGATATATGTACCTATGAGTCATTTATCTCATACGCATCTATAAAATCACCTTCTTTTTTCAAGTTCAGTGAACTTCAATCTTGACATCATACAATCACCACTTTTCCAACAGATGATTTCTATCGAACCTGTTAAATAATTTACAATGTATAGTGATTTATTTCATGAAAGACATGATTAAAATTTAGAGAATGAAAATTGATTTCTTTATTACCATTTAAAACAGATTTGATCTATTCACTGTGCTAAAATTGTTTTACACATTTGTGAATGTTTAGCATCTCCATAAGATCCAATTGGACCTTCTTTATAGTTGTTGCCTAACAATATGAAAGTTCATTATTCTAGTAAAACTATGAAAATGGGAACCCAAAAAGAGATGGATATGTAAGTAAAGACATAAAGTTAAAGTAACAACAGGAACATTGGGAAATTGAGTCTTCTATATCCCAAGATTCTTGTAATCTGGACGAAAGTCATGTCCCCAATGACTACAACAATGTGCTTCCTGAAAATTCAAAAAGATATGAAATTTAACTTTTCAAAATTATATTTCTTTATAAAAACTAAGAAAAAAAAAAGAATGAGTGTACATCAATTGAGATCAACGAAAGACGTCCAACATGGTGGCATTTTTCAAATTTTTACACAAAATTTTTCTTTTGGAGACTTTTTCTGGTGTAACATACAATACTTTAAGATCCTCTTCTCCCTTTTCAAGAGCTTTGTATATTAACTTCTCATGTTCTTTACTAGTTGTATATAAACTTATCATGACCAAAAGCAATAAAAATCTTAATTAGAGTTTATAATCAGGTAATCAATAGTAAAGGATATACGATATTAACAAAAACAAAACTAAGCATGCGATCCTGAATGAGAGAAAGTAAAGGACTTACAACAAGAGCAATTCCATGATGTAAAAAGTTGGAAGTCGATATCATAGACTTTTGCCTCCACCAACAGCCATGATCACAAGAACATCTCTCCCACTCATGATTGCATTAATGATCTGATACATTAGTATCAACGTTAGGAGACAACATACAAATTATCATTATTAATACAAGGATTGAAATAACATTATTTACCTCAGGATACAACACAATTGCAGTTGTAAGCAGAAATGAGACAACAGATTGGAATTTATTGAATACAATCCTCAAAGCATCCAACTCAACATTCTTCAAGATGTCATCTGCAAGTACCTAAAAAAGTATATATATATATATATATATATATATATATATATATATATATATATATATATATTATGTAAATAGAATGTATAGTTAACAAAAAGAGAGAAAATATGCTTGGGTGTAGTTGAGAAAATTCTTTATTAGAGTCAAGAATGAGTTGCGCCTTTGCCTTTTCTCCCACAATCACATATTAAGTTTTTGTGTCTGGACCTTATTAAATGCAAAATTAAATAAATAAATAATAAAAGTCAACCATGTGATGATATTGAGAGTTTAATCAATTGAAAAGCTTCAGTTATGTATATATTTACAAGCATTGGCTTTGTAAAGAGACCTACTTATCTTCATTGATGTAGAATTAATACCACCACAAAGACCCTTGTTTGAAGAGATTGTCACGATCACATTCTTCTTCTCACTCACACTTGTCATAAATCAATAAATAAAATTATAAATAAAATTTAATTATGTTTCATTTTCTACCGTTGACAGCTTCCTAACATGTAAATGGAGACAAGACTCAAACAGAGATAGGAGGCTTCATGGTACACCCTTTACCCTTCCTTATATTAGTTATGGTTAAATGCAAATAAACAAATAAATAAACAAATAAATAAAACCTAGATCTGCTACTTCATGAGCGAATTCATTCTCTAATGTTTCATCATTTAAATGTTCAGATATAAGAATCTTGACAGCAACATGCTCACCAAGGTACTCTCCAGGGAATCTTTCAACAAACAAAAGAACTAATATTAAGATACTTGTAAGAATTAGGAATGCAATTGAACAAAAAAACAGTGTACACGTACAAATCTCCACAAGATCCAGATGCATTCTTTTCTCCAATCTTCAATGATGCTCTATCTATTTCTGCATCTCCAAAAGGGGTTTTAGTGGCTAAAGCTTTCTGTACAGCTGATATAAAATCTGAAGAAGAACCAGACCATGAACCCTACAAGGTAAACAGTAGTCCAGTTTGTGCATATGTTTTTGTCTTAAAATAAGACCCTAATACTCTTGAAAAACACTATGTGATGAAAATCATAGTAAGTGGAAAAATATTTTACCTCGCTTCTAGAAATTGTTTCCTTCATAGCTTCATGTAAAGCAATTGATTCCTGGCCACAAGGTTGCAGAATCAAAAACAATCATATATGAGTATTTTGATGTTAGAAAAGAAGAGGAAGAAGAACAAGAACCTGAAAAGGCCATCCATCTACTAGAAAAGATGTTAGAAAAGAAGAGGAAGAAGAAGGAGAATCTGAATATACGAGGAAAACAGCCGTTTGAGGGATTTGGAGGCACACCTGCAGTAGATGAGGAATATCTGGAGGCACACCTGCAGTAGATGATCAAGTTCCTCATTCTATTCCTTTGAATGGCTTTGGAGGCACACCTGCAGTAGAAGATGAATCTCAAGGGGGCACATATGCAACTTTGGGACAGCCTCATGATATGAAGTTTGAGAAAAACAGCTGTATGAGGGATGTTGAGGCCGTGATCCAAGAAAGTAGTGGAAGTGGAGCTACATTAGGAGAAAGCCTTTTGAGTTTGGATGTTGAAATTGGACGCGTTGATGGCCATGACGATGGTCCCATAAGGAGAACAAATGTTCTTCCTAAATACCAATTACATCAATGTTAATACCATATGAAGATATATACATATTTTCTTGATATTCCGATAACAACAAGCAGCGATTGGAAGAACTTGCATATGTGCTTGATCTTTTGAAAAATCAGTCCTAAGAAATAGCAGTTACATATTTGCTTGATCTTCCGATAACAACATCAATGTTAATAGAATGACTTTTAACAAAAAAAAATTCACACCCCAAAACAAGAACGGCGGAAACATTCTGGGGCGGAGGATATCATGTACAGTATTACAACAATGAAAAGTAGTAATTAAGCAACAACATCATCCATTGCATTAATAATATAATTTTAATACAAGTGTGTTCTGTCAAATTATAATAGACACTAAAAATCAAAATGAAAGATGAGTCTTGAACGAGCTCCATCTTCACTAAACCTTGCATCAGTACATGTCTATTGATGACCTGAGGATACAAGTAATTTTGAAAGCGAGTATCAGCTTTGAAATGTAAGTATTTGTACGAATGAACTGTAAATATTTGTATGTAAATGAACATCCTAGAAAACCCTATGCTTCCTACTAACTGTATCCTTCTACTAAGGCATCTAGTATCCATGTGTGTGTCTCTTGTAAGAGTGTGTATTTTCCCAACTCTGACTATCATTAACCAAAAATATAGTTTCTACATTATCGTGCATCGTGTGAATGTTCACGAAGTGAATGTAAAGGGGAATATGAAATAATACTATGGTGTAGTATCAAATGACTACAACCATACTAACTACCTTAAAACAAAAAGGTATTCAAATATAACATGTGATCGAATTGTATCCTGCTACCGACTCTAGTAAAACGATGATGTAAGACGCCGTAAGAAATGACATTTGGCACCCGTAGACTTGCAAGTCCCACTGTAGCGAGCAGCAAGGTGTACGATAGTCAATCCAGTATTGATCTATACGCAAACTCATACACTCTCCAATTAAGGAGATTCGGGATACAAGAACGGTCGTGGCAGGAAGTGCCATGACCCGCTCAGTGGTTCACATAACTGCATAAACGTATATGTAATAAATGTGCTAACTAAAAGTCTAATCTTACTCTATCTAGCCTGTGTGTACTGAAATGTTCTGCGTGTGCTAGCTGTAATGTATGTTCTTTCTATCTAGCATGTATAGTAATGTACTGTGTGTACTAGCTGTAATGTATGTTCTCTCTATCTAGCATGTATAGACTCATGAATGAACTGACTCGTTGTATGATATCGTGCTCTTGTAATATTTCTAGTATCTTCCTAAACTACCCATATGGTAGCTTACTAGTAATGTAACTGGTACGTATGAACATGGATGTATACCCTTGCTACCCGAGGGTATCTAATGAACTGGAAGAACCTTTATGACTATATATGTACACATGATATATAACTAATATTTAAACGACCTTTGGACGGGTACCCGATATCCCACCAGACCACATCTCAAACGCGAAAAGGAAATAGGGTGGATAGCCTTCCTAGGTCTTTTAAACATTTCTTATATAAATATACATATATAGGCATGCAATCTATATTATAAAAGCATAAAATAAGTTTTGTAAAACCTTTTGAACATGATTTCTATCTAAGAAAAGATCAACTTGATGTCAATCTATAAAATAGGATGGAGGTATTTATCTAACAAAATAGTTTTAAATACAAAGAAACATTTGTTTGAAACACAATTGTAAATGAGTTTGAAATGAAACATACAGTGTATAATGAATAATTAAAATAGGAGTTTTAACATATAAAACATATATGAAAATCCTTTGAATAACAACTGTTTGGTAAAACAGCTAATGTGTAGTAAATCATTTGAATACTACTTATTAATCACATGTGATTTGATATAATAACTAACTTGATTCTACTTGTATCCCCCCACCCACCCCCCACCCATAAAACATTTAAAAACATTTAAAACATTGATTAAGGGGTATGAACTCACCTGTATTAAGTGATTGGGATTGAACGGAAGGGTTATCATAAGGAATGATCGGGCAAGTGCTTGGTGTCAACTGAAGACTTTAGACACACACAATGATCCTAATTACATGTGAAGACATATGTATATAAATAAATAGTGATTAAAACAATAATTATACAAGTATAAGCATTTTAATGCGAGGAAAACGCTTTTGGTCAGGTGTTAGGAGGCAAATGGATTGCAACAAAGGAGTGCAAGACCTCCAATGGGGGTTTATGGTCAAATGACCATATGATTTGGAGTTTACGGCCTAGGGGAGTAAACTCCTAGCCGTAAACTCACAATAAGGTCTCTAAATGAAGCTTAGAATTAATACAACTCTAGTGGTGAATTGTTCCAAGGCTTAAACAATTGATTGGGCTTCCTATTGACTCTATTGAGGAGTTCACGGCCCTAGGACCATATCCCATGGATATTATGGCCGTAATCTCCCTTGGGGAAAGGTTTATGGTGCTTTCAAGTCCCTAAATTATCCAGGAATGCATTAAGGCAATTGTCCAAGGCTTTAGGAGGATTTATGGCACCATTTATGGGAGTTCACGGCCCGGGAACATCTTGGGCCATGAACACCCTTTTGTTGGTGTTTTAATGGTGTTTGCTAGCCCCAAACACACTAGGGTACTTGTCCTAATTTGTCTCTTGGCTTAAGGAAGGTTTTTAAGGCATTTTGACACCTAAACATGGATTTCACGGCCCTGGAACATCCTTGGCCGTAAACTCACTTTCATCCTTGATTTTAATTGATTTTGGTGTCCTAAACATGCGATGGTGGGTTCTAGTTCGAGTTCCAAGGCTTTGAGGGACATTGGGACACTTTTAGCCCTTAAAATGGAGTTTACTCCCCAAGTGTTCTTGGTCGGTAAACTCCCAAATCTTGGGGTTTTGGTCCGATTTTGATGTTATAAAACATAATCTACGCTATATAATACAACGAGATAGAAGTACTCACGATTTGGGATAAAAACCTGAAGATCCGTGAGAGAGAATTTGGATTTTCTCTAGTTGGAAATGTGATTAATGAACTCTTTGGTTCAGATTTCTATATATAGTCCTGATATTTTTGGTATAAAATATTTTATTCCGGAGTGAACTCTAATGTCATAGAGTATTGGAATAACAGTGTTGCACAAAACCCTAGTGCATCCACTCTCCTGATATCTTCTTAAGTGCTACACCTGAAATACTCAAACTTATACCCAAAGTCTGGAATTTCACTGTAACTGTTCTAACTTCAAATTGGTTTGGTATGGTTAGTGCAGAATGGAAATTTCGGGTTGTCACGTCATCCCCCTGTTAAAGGGAATTTGGTCCCGAAATTAAAATTTAGATAAGGAAGTAGGTATGAATGATCGAGTCGTGAGGAGGAAACTTCCTAATCGATTGGTTCTAACGCTCCTAAGTGAAATCGGGTTCTCGGTTGGTATCCCAATGAACCTTCAATAATGGCCTACGGCGTTGCTTCGTCCACTTGACCTCTCGGTCGAGGGTCACTACGGTTCTAATACGAAGGCGAGGATCTCGATGATTGGACTTACAAGAGTCCTAACGGAAAGGTATGGTTTCACGATCGAGACGCGAAGAGTAGAATGTACATTACTGAATTCGCGGAGTAGGTCTAGTCTGCGAGATACAGGACGATTCTAGTAAGAATCTTGGAGGTCCTATCTATCTTGGATTTAGCTTTCCATGCGATACGAAGCGTATTAATCCATTACCAGAGTGAGACTTCCTAAAGAACTTGGTCTCTCACTTGGAATTTCCAAGGTTTCTTTTTCTTGCTCAACCTCACAGTCAAGGGCCACCCCTTGCTGGGTCAAGGTCGTAAGGGTTTCTATAATTTGAGAGGAGTTCTGAATGGCTTATGATAGTAGGTCGGTAAGACCTAGAATTTGGTGAATGACTGTCGGCGTCTCTAGTTTCGACAAATTCTCAATGGTGTTGACAAATTGCAAGAGTACTCAAAATTTCCCACATTACTAACAGTGTGTCATAGAAATTTGACTCTTCAATTTCAAAACTCGTGCCTAGGGAACTTTGCAAAAAGTACCTCTGAAGGTAATGTTCCCATGGTTTCCTTCTTACTACGAGGGTAGATAAGTAAGTCATTACATGGAGTAATGACAAACTGATCCAAGTAAGAAAGATGTACCCTACTCATTTAGCTCATGAATACTATGGGTGTATTGGTCCTATCCGAGGGGTATTACTACGGACTCGAAGTGTCCGCATTGAGTTCGGAGGGTAGTCTTCCAGACATCCTTCCCTAACACTCGAACTGGTGATATTCAGATCTCAGATCCCTTTCTGAAAGTAATTCTTTCCATGAGTTTGCTCAACCATTTCATCTATGCGAGGCAGAGATAACGATTTCTAATAAAGAATCTTGACGGAGTCCTCGATATCCGAGGCATATATGATGCAATCCATCGATCTCTGGGAGAATAAGACTGGGGTTCTCCAGGGTGAGAAGCCTAGTCTTCTAATTCTCTTTCTATGTAGTTCGCTAAGTTGTCCGGGTTTTTCTTGTGTCTCCGTATGTGTTTAAGCTGTAGGGCGCTCTGTTTACGGGAGTCATACTGGATTCTAAGTTTGTTCACATAACGATGTGATTACTCGTAGTCTTGAGCAGTTCTCCATCCTGAATTTCATATTAGAATTCATACATGGTTTCATAATCACAATTTTGTGTATACGAGCCGTATATAATTAAGATTGAAAAGGTAGTTGAATAACTGATTCTTCTTTAAGCTCACATCCCATCAGGGAAAAAGAAGTTAAAGTGGAATCATCAATTCTAAACGTGTAAAACCTCGATTATATATCACT